TTCCGAAACGGATGCGCACCCACCCGGTGTTCTACGTGGGCTTGCTCAAGCCGTACCGCGATCCGGCGCAGGTGAACGCGGAAGCGTTGGCGTCGGAGCGGATCCCACGGGCCCGCAGCCACCCAGAAGCTGAACCAGCAACTGGTTCTGAGCACGGAGTGCAACAACCTCCATTTTTAATGGAGCCAAGCGGAGCGTCATGCTGAAGAATCATATCGCTGTGCGGACGCTCTTGACAATTTGAAGCACGTCGTGCGCCGGCTGCCTCGCCTTGAGGACTACCGCTCTCTGTCGGAGCGACTCCTAGCCGTGGAGCAGGCGAATGCATCGCTGCAGGCAACGGTGGAGCCCGCAGTAAGCTTGATCAGGCGATACGACAGGTAATTAACATGATGGGAATGCTTCGTTTGCAGAATTATCACGAAACGTTTTGTTTTCGCCGATTTTCTAGGTTGAAGATCGCTAGCGCGACGCACTGCTGCTCTTTTTGGAACAGAGCCAAGCTCATAAGCATACCACCAACCTTTGTTGTCCAGAGGTAAAGATATCTGTCGTCTTTACCTTTAGCCCAGAACCTCCATAATGAAGTACCATGATACTTCCGACTACAGTGTATATACCATAATTGAATACATAATTCGCGGATGGCTCTTGTGAAAAAGGTGATGAATCTAATATCCAAGCAAAGCAATGAGGTAATGAACCAGACAGTAGATTTCATCATATAGCCGAATTGCTGTTGAGGATTTTATCCAATAAGATCACTGCTACTCAGTTTGACTTTCTTACCAATCAGATAGTCAGATTTTCAAAAGCTACAGTTCGAACTGATATCGTCAAAGCACGATGGCATCGCTGGGCGGCGACGTGCGGGAGGCGCTCCAAACATCTCTCAGTTGGAACTTTTCATATGTATCATCCGATCCACAAGCTGCTCGCTGTCTCGTTCCACATCCACAAGATGCTACACAATTGGCTGAGTGGTTTGTACGCAAGCTCCCGTCACTCAAAAAGTCTTCAGAATCGAAAATGAACATAAAGTATAATTCAGATGCTCCACAGCCCGAATCGAGACGTCAGAACAAAAACTTGGAGACGCTTTTAGCACAAGAATTGGGATTTGGTCTTGTTGAAAAGACCATGGGAACGCTGACGCATCGATCATCGCAGTCGAGCGACATGTATGAGCCACAAGAGGTGATATTGACGCTTTTACTAGTCTACTGACTTCTTAGGATTCGCGACAATAATTGCTCACAATATTGTGTAGATATCACCGATAGATGTTCTTAAACGCTTATACGCCAACATTCCGCTGTACGAAGGTGAAGATGGCGGTCAGATTACACTCAAGTTGTTTGAAAAACTAGCAACGCCGCTAAATGCTCATATGCCCCCTCTTCGAGGATTATTAATCGAGAAGACAACCGATTCGTCATGTGTATACGCCGTATTTGAGTACACGGCACAATCATTGCTGGATGTGCTGAAGTACAATCAAGCGGTTCTTAAAGGCCAGTCGAGTGTTGAGTTAGACGTGCGTGTGCTACGTGAAGACGAGCAGGATGCACTGGGTGATGTGAAGAAACGATTCGTGTTGTTTCAATTGTGTCGCGCGCTCGCGTTTCTTCACGCACAGGGAATGGCATGCGACGGCTTCTCGTCCCGTGAATTGAATCTATCCGACACGCTCTGGCTGCATCTTGCTACGTCGCCACGTGTACTGAATACACGGATAGAAGACGGCGCGACAGGTACAGCATGGACAATCCCGCGGGCTGTCGAATCGTATACGTCGCGGTCTGTCACAGAGCGTTGGTGTACAGGTGACTTGAGCAACTTGGAGTATCTCCTGATTCTAAATTCCGCAGCTGGTCGTCGTATGGAAGACGGTGTTTTCCATCCGTTCGTACCTTGGGTTACTGACTTTACGTCAGGGCCACATAGTGGCTGGCGTGACCTAAGTAAAAGCAAATTTCGTCTGAACAAGGGCGACGCGCAGCTGGATCGGACCTTTGCCAGTAGTGCTGTACCACATCATATTACTGAAAGCCTATCAGAGATTACATACTACATTTATGCAGCAAGACGCACGCCCATGACGCTACTACGGCGTGTCGTACGTGGCGATTTTCAGGCGCGTGAATACCCAGCGACGATGACACGGATGTTTGAGTGGACTCCTGACGAATGCATCCCCGAGTTCTATACGGATCCGACAATATTCAAGTCACTACATGGCGATGACATGGACGACCTGCAGGTCCCGATGTGGAGCAATACATATAGCGAGGACATGGCTTTGGTCTTTGTACAGAGGCATCGGGAGATGCTGGAAAGCAACCATGTCTCGGCACAGCTGCACCAATGGATTGACTTAAATTTTGGTGTCGCATTGAGCGGCGAAGCGGCAATCCGTGAGAAAAATGTGCCTCTTGCCGTGCATTCTGCCGGCAAGAGCCCAGGTTTCGTACAGCTGTTTGATGTGGCACATCCGCGACGTGCGTATTGTCGGCATGAAGAAAATGCTAATAGTCAGGCGATGGCAGACGAGTCATCTAAAGTAGAAGTTGAGAGTCCACGTGCTACTCCTCGACCGCAGGGTACCGCAAAGGAGGTCAATGCTATGTTATCAAGAGCGATTCAATTGGTGTCAGACGTGCAGAAGGATGGAGCCGTATCGACGTCCTTAACGTCGAATGGAAGTGGCGGACTGAATGCGCTTCTTCCGAGAACCGGGTATGAAGTTGAAGCCTCACGGTATGGTCTCTCGCACAATCAGGGAGGAGAGACCGGCAACGGCTATATTGGATCCGACGGCACGATAGCTGGAAACGCGCCTGCAGCTTCACCAACTGATGCCACGCGAAGTCAAGCGATAATGCGGAATCTAAAGCAACGTCGGCGTGGAAATAATAAACCTCGTACCCGTTCGCAAGCGAATGCAACGACGGTAGATCTTCAAGCCACTTCGGTATACCTGACGACTGGTAGTCGTGAGGCTCAAACGTGTCTAGTGCCTTCATCATCTAGCGGATTAAGTCCGTCAAGATTAAGTAATTTGTTCAATTCCGAACCGTCAAACCCACACAATAGTACCAACAACAGCTTTGTCAATGGTGCTCAGTCTCTTAACAACTGTGATATTTCAGCTAGTCCGCCCAACTCGATGAATGCTTATAACAAAACAAACAGAAGCTTTGAATCGACGGACCATTTGCGAGTTCTAACAATTACAACGCCTCAAGGAGTGAGTGGTAATGCTAATGGAGGCCTTTCAGGCGCTGGAGACCGTCGAGGAGCGCATCACAGCCGACACGCGTCTTGGGGCAGCGGAAGTCCTAACACCGGTACACATTTATTACGAGACTTGTGGCAACAAATACGGCCGCCTGAAGAGGATCCTCCAAACGGAAATACTGGCAGTGGACATGGTCATCGACGTAGTGCAAGTGGAGGTCACCACGACTTGTTGCTCGCGCTGGGTGGAGCTAGTGATGTTCAATCGTATGAGATCGATGCTGCTCACGGTGGTGGAGGGTTTCAAGCGCCTGAATCACTTGATGATGTGGATTTTAAGCTGCTCCAGCTTGGATTACGGATTATTATCCCAACGGCTGAGAAAAACAAAGAAGTGAAAGCTGATCGTCGTCAGTTCTCGGCTGCAGAAGCGCCGAAGCTTGACGAGGAGCCAACGATTGCGGAAGAAGTCGTTGATCCCATTTATCGCATTCCTGATGAGTTTCAAGATCCAACAGCACAAGAATTGACGTTATTAGAACGCGCACAAGCGGCTGACATTTTTTCTTTGGGATGCATTGCAGCTGAATTGTACACTCAGACGCCAATATTCTCAAGACGCTCGTTGGAAAAGTATTTAACGGCTTATGCTCGAGAGAAACACGGTCGAGTGACAGCGAAAACACGCAGTGATGATCGCTGGATCTCTGGTCTTTTGGCTGATCATTACAAGCCGTCATTACAGCCGCGGCTTCCATGGAATCACGTCGTGGCTGGTCGTTTGGCAGGATTACCGCTTAACCTAAAGATGGGCGTACTGGACATGTTGCATCCCGATCCACGCGAACGTCTGCTTCTTGCTTCACAGATTGATGGGTTGAATCTGTTCATAATGCCATGTACCGCTGCATCAGCATTTAAACATGTGGTGTCTCCAGGCGCTATCCACGTTTCACCGTCGGCTCTTTTCCCCAGGGATTTTGCAGTCGTGTACCAATTTCTGAAAAGATTACACACTATTTCGGAACATGATTGGAATGCGCACTTTACACTCGTGCGCGAGTCCTTGCCATCCTTGTCCAGTCTGTCGGAGATGTTGTTTCGTGTGGCGATGCCTGAACTTGTGCGCTTTTTTCGAGCGCGCTCGCATACGGAGTTGATACGCACTGACTGCGTCACCGCCGCTGTCGTCTTTCTGCTCCCCGAAATGGCACGCCAGCTTGGTCGTGAACGTGCGCGTGCAGAATTGTTGCCAGATGTCGTACGCGTGTACGAGAGCAGCGATTTAACACAGTCACCACTCCTTCGCTGTTGTCTCGCAGCGCCTAGCGTTTTGCTATCGTTGCTTCGTGCATTCGGAGCAGCGACAGTCCTCGATATTTTTGTTCCTGTTATCCTGGAATGGCTCGTACCTCCCGTAGCAGCGGATCCCGACGCCGATTTGCGATCGTCGTTGACGTCGCTTCCTCGGCACTCGCCACCTTCGCTACCCTTTTCCTCAGAGTCTGCTTCTATCGCTGCTGTGACATTCGGAGAACTGGCGTCGCCAGTGATGCTAGGTCCATCATTGACAACAAAATACGTCCTCCCTGCTTTACTGAACCAATTAGGCCGCGCGAAAAGTAGATGGACGCGCCTTGCAGAGGCCAAGACCCTACATTGCACAGACAGGAAGGTTCCAGCAACCATGAACGAAATGGAAGCGGGAGCATCAACATTTCATCTGACATTTCTATTCAAGACTAAGCTGTACGAATCGCATCATGTAGCAGATGCTATCTTGCAAGTGTGTCGAGAAGTAGGTGAGTACCCGGTTGTTGAGATGCTGTTGCCACGGCTGGTAGACGTGTTACCACGGCTTGTCACGCTATCTGAAAAAATTGGCTCCGTACGTATTGAAGGAGTCCCGGTAAGTTTGCGCAGCCGTTTTGAAGACACTGCATGCATTTTAGTGCTTACGATTGTTTTGCAGGAGGAACTTGGTCGTGAAATTTACGTGTTATTGCGCATGTTACGACACGTGGTACGTACGCTGAATGATCCGACGTCGTTGCAAGATTTACTCTCACGACGGGCGCGTACTAACCTGATGGAGCTACTGGCACAAATATCACCACCATTTCTCCATCCTCAAATGGCAACTGCTGTGATTGCTGCTGCTACTACCGCCCACAGTATGTCGAATGAGTTCATCCCCCCATCATCTAATACAACAAAGAGTGCAACAAAGAAGAAGGTTTTGCGCAGCTTGAATATTATAAAGGATGCTGATCATCGGAATCTTCGTGCATTTACAGTAGTGGGTCTCTCCCGTACCATTGTAGCTGTGTGCCAAAAGCTTGGTGCAGAAACGACTATTGCGGATTCAATTGTAGTCGCTGGTATCAATCGGTTTCTCAAGCGTTGCAGTGACGTATACGCCGAGCTGGAAGTGTCAAATTTTCAGTGGGATCTTGCCAGTGAATTAGTGAGCGAGTTGTGTGTGCCATTGCGTACTCTATTAGGAAAAGACTTGTTCAATCGGCATTTTCCCATCGTTGCTGGGAGCTCCGTTCTTCAACTCTTGTTATTGCCGATAACCAACAATGTAACCCTTGGAGCAAGTGGCGCGAAAGGATACGACAATCAAGTGAGTCGAAATGATCAGCGAAATTTGAGTGCCCTGGATGATCGACTAGCAAAGCCTCAAGCTCAGTCAGAAGGCCAAATGCAATCAACACTTGGTGAAGAGAGAGGTGAAAAAGAGGAAGATATCGCCGATATATCAGCAGCAACAACCACGGAGCAAGAAGACCCGGCGACGTACTTGCCCGATTTGGTGCGCTTTGCGTATCATGCTGTACGACTGCATTGCGTACGTGCAACTAGTTTTCTTCGTATGCCCTCGACGTTGCTCTTTGGTGCTGGCTTGAAAGCTGCACACTGGGAAAGTGTGCTGAGCCAAGAGATGTTGCTTTTGCAAGAAGCGCGTCGAGAGCGAAAAGTTGTAAATGCCGCACTTGCACCCGAACGGGCTGTCGCCAGCGCAGTTTGGCTTCGATCGCGCGTTCGTCAACAATTTGACGCCCGGCGCGAAGATAGCGGGAACGCAGGTGGTTTGCTGGGTTCATCGTGGAAGCTGAATGCCGAGATTCGCCAATCAATTAAAGCACATTCCAGTTTCGTGCGTTGTATCAGTGTAGACGCAGACGAAGACCTCCTTTTGACAGGAAGCCGACATGGATCATGCCGTGTGTGGCGACTGTCGGGGCATCCAGTTCAAGCACGGGCTGCGGCATCGATGGGCTTAAATGACAGCCGTCCGATTCTTGCGATTACACGTACAGGTCGTGCCGGGCCTTTAAGTCAGGGTGGAGCAGGAGACACGGACGGGATGGCAGCGGCAGCCTCGGCTTCGGGGGTCATGCTTTGGGACCTGCGTACAAGTCAGATGCGGATGCGTCTGCCGTTTTCCGTGACTACTGAACCCGTTGTGTCGATGACAACAGCAACAACGGCCGTAGACTTAGCTGTGGCCACTACACGACGTGTTGTCTGCGTAGATGTCCGCACTGGCCCGTCCGTCATTGCCGAATGGTACGCCGATGCAGCTGGTATAGCATCTATCTCGGTAGCAAATGGTCTAAGCTTGTCAGCCGTCGCTTCGTTTGTAGACGGAACGGCTTATCTCGCACTTGGTTCGACAAGTGGTTCTGTGGTGTTCTTGGATTCACGAACAGGTCGACATGCGGCGCGATGGCAAGCATTGGAATTTGGTGCACGGGTGGTGCAATTGGTCCAAATCTCGGCTTCGCAGCTGCTCGTGGTTGGTGCAGACAAGGAAGCGCGCGTGTGGCGTGTTATGTTGCGCACATACGGACATCCGCAATTACGTATGACGATCACAGGCGTGCCGGATGGAATCTCGGCGTCACAAGTGTCCGTTCATACTGCTGCAGATACGACAATCTTGTACGTTGTAAACGGCGCTCGTATACATTGTGTGGAACTACCGACTGAGCCACGTGCAGTCGTGTTGATCCAGACTCCAGTGACTAAACGAATGGAGTCGTGGCAACTTACGGAGCCAGGCGGTGCCAGAAACAACAAATGCCGCGTCGTTGCTCACAGTGTAGCGATTCTGCCCTTACGTCAACTTTTGTTGCTTGGTGCGGAAGATGGCTGCTTGAAATGCGTCATTTAAGTTGAAAATTTACATAAGCTATACATCTGTTGAAGTAGAGTTGTAAAGTAAAATTCAAAACAAAACAAAAAGTAATTGCATTTATGATAGCAAAAAAGCTATAGAAATGTAAAATTACAATCTTATCCACATCGTCGTGATGGTTTGAATGAGTGGAGTCGCAACTTAATTGTTCAGGCCCTTGGACTCATTAATGGCATTCTTGTGGATCGTAGCCAGTTTGCGACGGTGTGCTTGCCAGTCAGCACCAGCTTCTTCGTTGTAGCGAAACATATCCTTGCGATTCTGCTTGTTCCAATTCACATCCGGATGGCCAGCCAAGTAGCGCACACACTGCGCTGTGCAAAGTCCAGCAGCGGCCACGCAGGTCACAATTACAGGCCATGTGGACTTGTCACCGAGCCACCGCTTGGTAGCGCTCTGAGCTACACGGCCGACCATTTGTGTTTAAAGTAAAATAGGAGGCTTTATAGAGTTTAAACGCGATTTGAAGAATGACTTAAGAGGCGGCGTACAATAAAAGACTGGCTTCTGTATCGTGAGTGGCTCGAATTGAATGTCTGATATCAGAAATGCATAAAAAATCAAGACGTGGGACGTGACCAACGGAATTTTATGACGCTCGAGGACGAATTACTATAGATAAAATGTCTCCTTTATTAATCGTGCTTACGACAGACACACCCATCTGATTGCTCTTCTTCGTATGCGTCGTGATTCATGAAAAGCAAAGGTATCATACCAATCAAGCATCCAAGTGTAATGCCACCTGCAGAAGCTATAAAATTGCACCATAACGTAATCGACATGTTGGCTTGAGCTTTGGAAAGCATGGGGTCTGGAATGCCCATACGTCGAGCCATAGATTCGATCCCACCGCCCAAACTCAGACCAACTACGTCAGCCACCGTATTGCCAAGTGCAGCAGCACATAGCATTGACATAGCGTAAGATGAGTGAAAGTGCGTCTCAATTGCGTCTCCTGCAACCAGTAGAATCAAATTATCCACAAGTCCAAAGCCTACGAATGGGATGGCAGAGCCGATCATCACAAGCTTAAGTTGACGACGTGTTGGTGGAGATAAAGCTCGAGAAGAGAGAGATGCTACTGGATGAAGGCTAGCAACTGGACGAAGACGAAAGCGAGACGTGAGAAGACCACGTAATTGATCGTGACTCAGTAAACCATCTCGGTCAGTATCAGCAGCCTTTAGCAGCATCTCAAGCTCTTTTGTGTACTTGCTAGCCACTTTAGTCATAATGTTAAACCGTTGTGCTTTGGATAGCGAATGAAAGTGTTCCATTAGCGCATCCACTGAGGGTTTTGACTTTGACTTTCCAGTATTGCAAATTGGTGCTTTAAACACAAATCCTTTTGCTTTACTGTGCGCCTTAGCCGACGCTCTCCATTGAAGTGCTGTCGTGGACCGACGAGACGACGACTTGGTGCAGCGAATGTCTGAGTGTGCTGCAGTTACGCGCCTGCGCGTCTTGAGACCTGCAGATATGTTCCGATACCTTCTTATCGTACTCATAGATCTAATAACTCTTCGATGTAGGCTATGAATGCAATGATAAGAATGGTGTTACATCGCAGTTAGTTACTTTATCCAATTTTTACGCAGGAATAGCTATTTCTAAACTGTGAATTTTTTGCGCAACTTGATAAATCTTCGCGCAACTCGCATGCTGAATGTAGAATGAAGTTCAGGTGCGCACTTGCATCACCTTTAAATAATCTTCTTGCCCTCATGCCCGACTTCATTCTAGTATCTTTGCCGGTTGTCTTGCAGCTCTTGCCGGTTTATTAGGAAAACTTGGTGCTGATGGAGACTCAAGCGCGCTCGACCTTCTCGACAAACAATGTCATATGTCAGCTCTGTCTCCATTCTGTTTTATTATATCGTCTGCTGTCCGCATACTGTGCTTAGCACTCATGCTAGGCACTAATGGACTTATGCTTAGCTGCTTTGTTAAGAGTTTGCATGAAACAGACTCACTCACCGCTACTGTCACAAGTGCAGCCGTTAACTTCATGTTGTCGGGTGCTGGTGGCTTTTTCTTCTTTCAAGAACACCTGCCCGCGCGTTGGTTTCTAGGAGCGAGTCTCATTCTCGTTGGAATGGGTTTTTTATTACATGGGGATGCGACTGAGGATGATTCAGAACTTAAGAAAATAAACTAGCGATACATTTGTGCTTAACTCGGCATATACTGACATTCTAGTGTATTTGCTAACTCTGTCAATCTTGCTCATCACAGTCATCCGTGATTCCATTACTTCCACAAACGTTAATAGCTGCTGGCCAGTGATTAAGAACAGCAAGTTCGAGCCATGGATGCGTCGGGTATCCGGCGCTACTGAACCAGTCGGTAAACACTTGAAGAGAGACCCCCTCATGAGAATCTTGATCTTTCAAATCAACACCTTCAGTCGATGGTTCGAGAAACGATTGCACTACTGCATCAGCACCGAGTTCAGCTGAGTATCGAGCCACTTCGGCACTCAATGAGCTGCTCATGCCGTAAAACGCCATTAAAAAGCATGCAAGACTTGACTTGATGGTCTCCAATTTAACTAATGGGCCAGCATTTTTCTTTTCACCTTCTCCCTCGCCCTTTGTGGCGCTCTCGCTATTTTCATCGGACAGCAACGCTGCGCAGCACTTGAGTTTTTCTAGCATCGTGCCCTCACATATCACTAGCATGCCGCAGATCGCAGAACCCACGTCGATCGACTCTTCCTCGTCGTCTTCGTCTCCATCCAATGCAATGAATTCATCTTCATCGTCTGACGCAGATTCATACACAAAGACACCCATAAGACGTTGTAGCATCTCCAATCCCTCGTCACTTAGAGATCTAATTGGATCTTTCGATCCATTAGATGGTGCGATCACGGGCAACGTCGCGCAAACTTTCTGTAGTGCACGTATGAACGTACTGCGTCGTGTCAGCATGATACCCATACTGTTAGCAGCTGGAAACTCGAGTGCTTCCAAGACAGCACCTTGCAGCTTCCAAGGCGTTACCGAGTATAATTGCGTCTGTCGAAGGAACATTTTTAATGATGAAATGTCTTCATTAAAAAACTGCAACTCAGCTGCATCTTGAGCTACTGCAAACACCATCACTGGACCATCTGTAGATAGACTGGCAGCGCTCGATGACACACGAGGATCGGATTTTGAATCAAGGGCGGCAGTAGGGAGACCACGAACGAAAGGAGTTGATATGATGTCGCTTTGCCGTACTTGCCGTCGGCGGGTCACGGGCTTCGCGGTCTGTTGTATTGGCTGCATCGGTTCCACTGGCATCGGCACTGGAGTCGAAATTGGCCCACGGTTCTGCGAGCCCATAACAGGAGCAGTACGTTTACTCTGGTATTTTGAACCAGGAGTGCCTGTCGACAAGGCAATCGTCTGCTCTTGAAAATCTTGCTGCTGTTGCCACTTACTGACATCAAGCAGTTCCACCCATGAGATCAGCTGGTAACCCCCTGTATTGTACCATTCGCCGAACTGCTCAAAAGTTACATGTGCACGGGAACGTGTACTTCCATAACCCGCAAGACCATTCGTGGACGTAATATTTGTCCCTCCGTTCGCCGAAACGTCAGTCATGAGATCACCCATAGCTTCCTCAATAAAGTCGTCCGCCTCAACATAAATCTTTTCCAAGCCAAGACGGTACGTGCCATCACTCAAGGCCATTAGTGCAAGTAAAAATGAGCGCAGATAAATAAACAGCACGGAGTGAGGGAGTGCATTGATTTCTGAGACTGATAATGGTGATACATGACGATTCAAGCCACCTCGCATTCCTTGTGCAGTTGAACCAAAGCCACGTGTACTCGGTAATCCAAATCCATTTGCTCCACCCGTAGCAAAGCGACCATTTGCTGGGCCTCCAAAACTAAAAGTAAAGCCAGTCGTTCCCGTTCCTTGTGCTTCAAAACCTAATCCTGTGGTCGTACTCGATGGAGGGGGTGCATAACTCGCAAGAGTCTTGTGTCGCTGCTGGCGCATCTTTGTGATAAAGTCAAAAGCCAACGAAAGTTTTTGGCTTTTAGAACCTCTCCCCAGGATACTAAGACCGCATGCCAACTCCAAGGCATTCACTCGACCACAACGTTTGCGATCATAGACGTTGAATAGTCGAGAAAGTAGCTTTGACGATGTCTGCTGCGCTTTCTCGGTCATACCATGTTTTGAAACCAGACTACGCACACATTCGTAAAAGTTTGTGCGTGTCAGCACCAAGTACGCGCCTTCATCTTCTTCGACTGCAGCGTAAGAATACATTTGTCCTCTACGGCTTTGAGTTCCCACGGCCTTCGACATCTTCAGCGCCTCCTCAGCTGATGGGGTGGCGTATGCCAGTAAAGCATCGTACACTTTGTTCACACCCAACTCCCCGAGTTTAGTCGAGCGTAACATGAACAGATACGTCGAGATATCACTTTCGGTAAAGTGCAGAATACTGCCTTCTTCAAGCATGTCAAAAGCATAGATCAACGGTTTCTCACGTTTGCTCGCCTCGAAGGCTTCTTTTGCTGGCCACTTTGATAGATCTAACAGCTCAAGCCAGGGACAGTCCATGTAACCACCTGCTGCATACCATGCCGCAAACTCTGCGAGGCTAATTGAGTCCGGACGCTTACACGTAGCCTCACAGAAGAGCTTGGAAACAACAGCACCTGCAGCACGCCCCGCGATTGAAGTTGTGCTCCTCGTGATCACAGACTTTGTATCGTTAAGATTTCCGTTTGTCGTATTGTGGCTTGAAAATGCAAACAGAACAACGAGGATTGACCTCAACATTTCAAAGATTCGACGACGCGAGACATGCCCATCTCCGTGTGAAGCAAAGAGTTTAAACAATACGCTTAGTTTGGCGCTCTTTGTCGTGCCACAAAAGACACACATTCCAGCGACCAGTTGCACCATTTCCACTGATATCGTGCTCATTCCCACCCCATTGACAAAAGATCCATTCAGTTGGCCCTCGTCATCATTCGCTTCGTTATTCTGTAGTAACCGTTCGCTCTCAAAAAGGGTAAATATACGCAACAAATGGAACGATAAAAATTCTTGATCCTCTTTTGACAGCTCGTCTCGCGGCACCAGGTCACGCATGACCCGCAAATATCCAGGCTTCGTGAGCGACCGGTTATGAGCTTGTTTCTTCAACAAGTGCACAAGCTCACCACAAGTCATTTGGCTTAAGTTCATGCGTTCCGAGATTGTGTACACAATCGCAACGTCTTTCAAGCGAATGCGCAAGATCGTATTGTCATAGCTTGTAAGTTTGAACTGCAATGCCACCGAGGAAAGATCTTTCGCTCCAGCCGAAGACGTCGGGGAAGAAATGAGATTGGCGATACCGCTGACAGCGTCCATACCAGCTTCAACAGCATAGCGGTCGTTTGTTCGCAAGGCTGCAGTATTAAGAACAGTCAGGTCAGATTCCGGACAATTTGGCGCTAGCGAAGCAGTTACATGGTTCGTACTTTCGTTGGACGATACTGTATCATTCGACGAACCCGAGCCAATGTCATCATTGCCCATCTGAGTCGCATTCTCCAACGCGTGTTGCTGACGGCTGATGTAGCGAAGAATCGCTTCTGACACTGATCGAGGCACTTCAGGCCACTTCTTTGCGTCCAATAGCTCAATCCAAGCGATGATCGTGTAACCGTGTTGCGAGTACCAAGTCGCGAACTCTTCAAAAGAAACCACGCCCCCACGAATAAATGCGCTCCCAGCACCAGCGCCAGCCGCTTGCGACGCAGCACCGACAAGTTGAAGATCTCCATCGTCTGGTAATGACCCACGATGTTCATATCGTCTGCTATGATGGCGGTGTGTAGTGCTCCTTAAAGATGCTGCATCGTTAGAAGTCGAGATATCGAGACTGCGACGTTGGCCACTTTCTCGCAAAGAAAATAGCGCTTCTTTTGTGCTAAACGTCTTGTCTGTGTCTTTGAAAATGCAATCTGCAATCTCAATTGCAGTCGTATCGGCCACACTCGCAATCGCTTCTGCAGATAGTTCCGAGCCATTTCCTAAAGCTAATAGCATCGTTAGAAAACATCGTAGATACTTCCACATTTCTCGACGGGTGAGGCAGCCATCCCCATCTGAATCAAAGAGTCTATAAGCAAAAGCCAATTTTTCGCTTTTGGAGCCCGCACAAAAAATAGTAAAAGCTGATACGAATTCGACAAGATCAATTTTGCCCGTTCCACCACGATTAAAAGCAAAAAATAGCCGGCTGAGCGTATCTGCCACCATTTTCGGATCTTTTCCTCGTCCGACGCTTCGAGGTGGAATGCGTGTATTGGAACTCGCACCAAATGCAGCAGCGACGCTTGGTGCAACGTTAACTGGTAACAGTCTGCCCACGCACGAGTCAAAAGTGCTCTTTTCAATACACGAACATGTTGCATCGTCCATGAACGGCCCAAAAACATCATACACACGGTGCAATTGCACTTGATTGAGTTTAATGACCCGCTGAAGTTCAAAATACTGGATCAAATCCCCGTTATCATAGCTTAACGTAGTGATCGGTAGCTCAGTAATTGCGTCATCATTGGCATCAAAAGGCAAATCGAACTCGAGCACAATCTCATTCTTCAAGCAAATTGCAGGTAGCGTCGCAGGAATGCTGCTATTATACGACCGTACAGCTGTCGGAGATGACTCTATGGACGTTGACAACGGCGGTGGGTGTCCACTAACCGATGCCGCTTCGTCCTCATTATCCTCCTCATCAATACCATCGGCAAATCTGAAGTAAGCATTTTTTCCTCCTAGAACTCCGTCTTGCGGTTCAGCTGCATCTACATCGACTCGAATGTTATTCGCCGTGTAGTAGTTGTTGCTCGCCACGACGGGATCCACAGATCGGGTATCAAGAGCTTCCAGATCAAAAGTAGGAGATACAAAGACCCACTTGCGCAGGTCTAGCAGCTCCAACCAGCTCATGTCTTTGAATCCTCCACCATTGTACCACACACCAAAGTCCTCAAACGTGTAAAGACCCAACCGCAAGTCTGAATTTGTACGCGCTCGATCACCATCAATCTCCTCAACGCCTTCCTCACCATACTCAGCGTCCTCCTCTTCACCTTCGAAATACTCCGAGTCATCCGGAAGCCCTTCCATGATAGCTTCCAAAATTTCCTCTTCACCTTTATCCACAAGCTCTGCCAACGAACCATATCGATGTACTACATCTTCATTTGGAGGTGACAAGTGCAACAATGTAATCAAAATCGATCGCAAAAACCGCCACAGTTGCTGGCGATTCAAGTATCCTTTACTATCGGCGTCAAAGTAGTGAAAAGCCGACGCGAGCTTGTCACTCTTAGATCCCCAGGACAAGAGACTAAATCCTGCCGCGATTTCAAATGCGTCAACGGTTGGACACTTTTCAGGTAAAAAAGATCGGAAAATAGCAAGCATTTTTTCTAGGAAAAAATTGTTTTCCATCAAGTGTATCCTATCGGTCATACTCAATAACTCTTCAATGGCCTCAAGAAATGTCTCTTCTTCCAGTAAACCATCGCCGGTATGTTGTACGAACGTGTCGTACATAGCCTGCGGGTTTACACGCGCAAAAGCCGATTGGACTAGCAGATCGTACAGATCTATCGCTTGTTGTTCGCCGATGGTCAAGACACCACCATCTACACTAGAGAATCGAAAGATCAATTCAGCTAAGTCATTTTCATCGGTGACATTACCCTCATCTCGTTCACTTGCAACTGGACTGTCCGAAATCCCCCACTTCCCAGGAGATCCTTGGGGCGATGAGAATGTCAATCGCTTTGAACCAGGCCATTTCTTCGAGTCCAGCAATTTACACCATGGTACGGCTTTGTTGATGCTACTGTTAGCTTCAATCCACGGCCAGATATGTTCTTCAAATGACGCAGTACTGTCTTTTGTCAGTGATTTCGCGGCAAACATGCGCGCCACCGTCTCGTCGACACACGTTGTGACAATAGACGCTGTAGATTGCAACTGATGATCTGTGGCCGTTGCTAGATCAAATATAGCAGATATCGAGAGCAACAGAGAGCCCAATGCTGTCCGTACAATCGACAATGTAACAGGAGTTGATTCGTCTACTCCACAGCCACAGAGACTAAATTGGATCGCAATCTCCAATTTGCGCTTCACTTCACCAGGAAGTAACACCAAACAACCTGTAGAGAGTTGATAGATGTCTGTGCGATTTGTGGCCTCGAACGATCGAAATATCCGCTCGAGTGTCTCCTCTATGGGCTTAAACGTTTCGCCTGTACGAAGTTCGGGCAATGATCTAACTAATTGGATTAGATCGTCTTTTTCCACAATTGATAAGCCGTTCGTAGCTGCGTAAGTGTGTACAGTCTGTGCAAGTATCTCAATACTGCACGTTGCTAGCTTGGACGCCACGAGTGCGTTGCGCACGTGCCACACGCGCTTGGACTGTAACGCTAACGAACAACTGGGTGTGACAAAGGGTAACTCGATGAGTGTATCGGCACTAGAAGCCGTGGCAGACGAAGGCAATGATGGAACTTCTTCTGTACTCATGTTGCTACGCAACGGGACTTCAATAACCGGTGGTGAACGCCTCGAGCTCTTGGGCGTCGGTGGTTGGTCCATGTCGATACAATTCTCGCAATGAGGGCTGAGGGCACTGAACGATAAACAGTAGACGCAAAGGTATTTAGATACACAGAATCACTCAAGAGAGCCTTCCCTTTCTTCTGCTTCTCTGGTGACTTTTTCTTTCTTGACCTTGCTCTCTACCACGCAATGCGCACTCAGCTGTTGCAGTTATAACTGACCTTAGTGATCTTTTTTGCAAAACAGATGAATGCTGCAACGGTACTGGTATATGGTATACAATGGATAAGAACCGCAGAGTTGCGAGATGAGGGTCTTCAACAACGAAAAGTCGCGGTCTTTATTTTGTACCGGTATGAAGAGTATATACCATCTGGCCAATGGAAATATGGTGGGTGGGACTGCAAGGCCTCCTAAGTTCATCTTCATCTTCACCATCTGCCAGTTGGTGTGCGCTCAATTGGGTGTACCGACCGGCAATCTCTGTGCTTCTCTTAATAATTGCAACGCGCACGGACGCTGCGATACAGTAACGAAAACCTGTACTTGCTACGAAGGTTTCGGCGCCCCGACTGATATTACTACTTACCGATCACCTGACTGCTCTTTGCGTACGCACAGGATACACTTTGCTAGCACAAATAACTCACATTATGTGTACGTTTGTTAGGAACTTGCCCTGCAGGCCCTTCATGGGGTGGGATTCCGACTAGCACGACGAAATCGCATACCAAAACGGAGTGTTCCGATGGGGGTGTATGCGATCGTTCTACCGGAATGTGCCGTTGCTACTCTGGATACGAAGGATCCGCTTGTCAGAGAAGTAGGCGGAATGGCAGCAATCGCTAGCGAATGCTTTTGCCCAGTGGCGCTGACATACATGGTGTGTACATACAGGTAGTTGTCCAAACGGCTGCTCTGGGCATGGACAGTGCCTCAGCATGCGCGAGCTGGCAGCGGAAGTCAGCGCATTTCCGCTGTCGCCTTCTACAAAGTATGAAGGTGACGTGGCCGCCACAACTTGGGACCAAGATCGTATCCATGGCTGCCTCTGTGACTCAGGCTGGCCCGTGGGACTGGGTGCAGGTGAGTCGCAGCTCTCACAATATTTTGGACCTGACTGCTCTCGAAGTACGTACGAACTGCCGCGCTACATGAGAGCTTTAATTTAAATAGTCTGCAGTGCACTGCCCTTCAGGCGACGACCCAATGACTGCAGTGGATGAAACGGATTGTGAAGGTGTCGTTGCACAAGGTGGTGGTGGCATTGGAGCAGTGGGTAACTTGTGTCATATTGATTGCGCTAATCGAGGCATTTGCGACTACACTAGTGGCGAGTGCTCATGCTTTCCAGGATTCTACGGCTCCAATTGCGCCTACCTATCACCGCTCACGTAGGCGTTGGTTAAATGAAGTCCTGCTATCGAGACCGGTTAAGAATTAATCAAGCCAATCAGCATTCGACAGTTGGACCGTTCCAAATGCATCATGACCACTTACTATTGTGTTACCATTGTGCAAGTTACGAAGAAGAGGATAGGCATCGTTTATTTAACTGAAGGACATTGCTGCATATGCATTTTCCGTTAACTGGCTAGCTTGTTCAAATTTACGATCGTGAAGTCTGTTGGTGGCTACTCGATCCGAGCATCGCGGGCCTAGAGTGAGCATGGGGGTCGAGGGATCTCTTCGGATTACCGAAGTGAAGAAGGGGTTTTCACGATCTTCTCCAACCTTTTTATTTACGTCCAATTCCTTATGTCCTATCAAAGCAGTGCATTTGGTCTGATGAACACAAAATCGAGTAGTTCAATTTGAATCCTTGTAAAATAATAATTATATGCCCTTAATTCTAATTATAAAAATCGACAATCTCAAGACTGCATCTGGTTGTGAATGAGGTCAAATTTGACGAGCTGAACTGATCAATGACAATATCTTCAATGACAATCGCTGCGATAGTAACAAGCACGGAATAACGGTTATAGAGACTTATGGATCAATTGTTGCTTTCGCTGCAGAGCAAACCTGACAGGATGAACACACTTTTGATTTTGGAATCATTTTATCTACCTAAAATATTCTATCTCAGATGTAATTAAGGACTGACTACATTAACAATTGGTTACACAGCACTTTGACGATTCAGCGGTGCGATAGGCGACAAAGTTGCCATTACCAAAAAGTATAGGGATTGTCTTGTCAGTTAACTGCAGAAAGGCTAGAATATCATATCTTCACAAATTTTGTCACCCATTCATATAGAACATTTCGTTCACACGTTATCATCTAAGGTCAACAATCCAAAATTTGAGGCATATGATATGCGAAGTCGTGATAGTTATAATCCAGGTTGAAATTTCTGCAATGTGATTGAAGAAAATTGATAATGCCTAAAAAGGAATGATACACATAATTTTATTTGGCTCACTTTAGATATCGATAAGGAATTTAAATTTTTGCCTACAGCCAGATTCTGACATTGAATTAGGAGAAAACTCTACATTCACAAACTGCTTGGATGTTTGTGCATCGGTGCAGAACTTGTTTGCCTGCAGTCAATGCCCTGTATTTGCAGTTTTAAGGCTGCGTGCGCTGAAAAAGAGAGCAACAATTATCAGAATTATTCTATCCAAAAGCGAATAAATCAAGTTCGTTCGTGACAAATTCGACAACAGCCAAACCAGAAACATTTTTTTCAGTTTGAATTTATGGTAGCAACTCGACGCAATATTCTCAAGCACGCTCAGCGTGACGAGCAGCGGCGTACTTTTCAAAAGACGTTTCCTGAGATGATTGCCTGCAACATTGCGTGCAGCATATACAATCAGCAAAGTGCAGTTGAAGACTTTCGATAATTATTAGACTCACCAGAACGACGCAGCAGTCACAATCGCAGCTGAAGCAATTCCTGCACCGACACCTACGCGCACGCTCTGCTTAACCATGCCAGGCACAATGCCGACAAGAGCTCCACCTACACCAGCGTTGATAGGATCTTCTTTCTGACGAATCTGAGATGCCACATATTCACCGGTAGTGAAGATGCAGCCAACAGCAGCGAACACGAGCTGCAAAATACATTTATCAAAACGGGTTAGTTCCTTCCCGACTAAAAAAAATTTACTGTTCGTCATAAGATTTTGTACCGAGCGCTGGCCTACGTGCTTAAGCTGTTTTGAAAGCTTTGGTAGCTTAGCACCTTAAATGATTAGTGAGTCACAAGTCAAAGCGATATTTGTCAACGCTTCGTACGACGCACCAAGCTTCGGTATAGCCCATACCGACTCGACGGAGCCAACGGTGATGCCGAAGAAGGCGCCTGTGGCCTGTACAGCGCATCAAGAAGCAATTCTATCACAATTCTATACATAAAGCCGACACATAGTATTTTAGAAAGTTACCGACCGTCGTGAACATGATCTTTTCGCTTCCAGCGTGACCGCTCATTATCAAAAAAACGTAGGTCGTGCAGTCGAGCGCTCTTAGCGATGATTGGCTAGCTGATGAATTTTTTATTGATTTGAAAATAAATTCTACGGTAACGTGTATCTGTTCGTGAGGGATCAATACGAGTACATAATAGTGTGCTAACTATACATATATCCATCTTTGTGCTTGGGGCAATACGATAGTGTGTGAAGCTTTGCTGATGCATCGTGATTGCTAGTTGAAAACTACTCCAACACCCGTGAGAAGGCCACTGGCCGTCTCCAATTTCTGTTATATCTCCCAATCCGGGAGGACAATGTTAAAATAAATTTGGAATGCTCAGTAAGACGTTTTTCGATAATAAACAGTGCCAAAATTGTTCAACAGTTGGTCTCGACAGTAAACATTATTTGTGATCTATACTGATAATTATCGCATACATATTATTTGGGATAACGTTTAAAATTAGATACGTATCTAGAATACTTTGGTTGGCGTAAGTAGGTGAATACAGATGTCTGGTGTGAAAGGTGTGATGTGCCTACACTCCGAGCACCCAACTCGATTTACAGGCCTCTTCACATGAAATTCGTTTGTTTGGATCTGAATGCAATAAAGAAGCCAACAGGAATGCGGCCGACGGAGACAGTGTTGATGGAAAAAGCCACGTCGGAAATGCTACAGACCGACGTGACTGAACGGTACTCGCACCCACAGCTACAGACTTAAAAGCCTTAGCATCAGCCAGAATCGGACCATTGCAACTAGCTGACGGAGAACAAGACCCAATAGCCTGGTTTTGATTCCAGAGCTTTTGAGAGCCATTGAGAATAAGACCCCGCATCGCTGAAGCGGGAGGAAAATTTGGATGCGTCGACAATTCTAATAGCTGCTGCTTTGAGGTACTTAAGTTACCTGCAGCCTGGAATAGCTGAGAGTCAAATGTGAGCTTGCCAGTATGTGAATCGCACGGCAGAGAACGCAGCCACTCGCTAAACTTAAGATACCTCGGGCAGGTCGCGAGATCACGTCCAAATGGCAGTGTACCCACGAGAAGTCCATATAAAATAACGCCACTGCTCCACATATCTGCCTTGCGTCCATCGTAACCATATCGCGCGTTTTGCAAAACCTCTGGAGCCACGTAGTGCGGCGACCCAACAATTGAATTTAAGCGTCGGAGACCAGATGGCGCCATAAGATTTGTGAGGCCGCTATCGTCATTATTGTCTTCATCGGCACTGGCGCCGCTGCTCACAGCAGCTATAAAATGTGCTGAGAGCCCAAAATCTGCTATTTTGAGCACATCCGAGTCGCTTAGTAGCAAATTTTCGGGCTTTAAATCCCGATGTACAATGCCCAGCTGATGACAATACCGAACGCCTGCCAGAAGTTGCATAAAGTACGTTCTCGCCACCTCTTCTTCGACCCCGGAATCACCTCGAATACGTTCAAACAATTCACCACCGTACGCAAGTTCAAGTACCAAAAAAATTGTCGATTTCGAAGGCTGCACCAGCTCCAGTACGTCATATAGTTGCAGTACATTTTCGTGGCCACTTCCAATTCGTTCGCCGCTCACGCTGTTTCCAGTAAGTTTGTGCATGTGTGCGATTTCGCGGTAGATAGTTTTTCTCGCCTGTAAAAACGCACGGTATTTAGCCGGTAGACTAGGAATAACGTAGGTCACGTCATTAATCACAATTACATCCTCTCCATCTTCTCTGATTTCTGTTTCCTCATTCACCTGGTCAAGCTGCATATCAGCGGCAGAAGCAGCTGAGGCTGCCGATGCTGTCGCCACACTTCTTCTAGAAGGCTCATGTACTGGATCTTCACAGGACATACTTGTCGTCAATCTATCAGAACTTCTCATTCGTCGTCTTCGCTGAGTCTGTGGCTGATCTCGCAGCTCCTCGTCATGATGGTCTAGCAGCCATAGACTCACACACATCTCAAGTGTCAACTCTCTTAATACGGGTGGAGCAAGGCCACACCCTGTTACATAGCAAGCCAGTAATTCTTTCCGACGGGGTAAATGTACCCAGTAAACATTGTCTAACGTCATTCCGCGCACATTTCCAACAATCGGCACTCCTTTCTTGATAATCTCGGCACGTCGTAATGCCCCAGGACTCGTGAGTTTATATCCCACGGGATTTAATATTTTTACAGCGACTGGTCGCTTCATGCGTTGGTCAAAGGCTTCGTACACGACACCCGCAATGCCCCCGCCCAAATAATTTCCCATCGCAAAGGCAGTAGTGCCTGGAGCCGACGAGAGTGTGATGTGTTGACCGTCGTAAGTCGCCACGCGCTCTGGCGACACGTCAGCGTCGCTCAAAGGCATATACTTGTTCTTCAGTAGCGCCATTTCTGTAAACTTGTAATTAAAATACAGTCTCCCTTACGTATGTGCTACTATTAACTTCTCTGTCGCTAACTGTGGCCGACAACCTCAGCAGGCGAAAGCGCGAATGGGAAGAAAGCCGAGCCCTGCCCTTGCGCAGTGAAAAAAAACCGAATCAAGATTTTAGTGAACGTTTTCTGTACTCGCGGCCAATAATGGGGAGTTCAGTCCGCTGCATGTAACCTTGGACATATTTAGGTCACTCGAGAAAGGGTTGAAGCAACATGTGCGTCATGACGAGCTCGAACGATGAGATCCAGTAAAGTGCACCGCCCTGACTTTAAACTAGTACCGCCATTTAAGCACGAATTTTAGGCTTTGAGCAGCAATATGATTGTCTACTACATGTAAGACCAAGGGTTTTGTGATAGAGAGTGGTGCAAGTTTTCCGACACTCCTGCAATTCTCTTAAGAGAAGTTCTATGCGGTACAGTACAAATTACGATTAGATTACGCTGTTAGAAAACTCTGACTTGAATTTCGTATCGTGTGATCTGACTATTCAAGAAGTAAAAATCAACCAGATAGCAGAAGTCAGACCAATCTTGACGGTCATTTTGAATACCAGAGACTTTATCATGGCTTGCTACTCTTTGTAGTCCATTTAGCTACGTAATTTTGCAGTCAAGAACAGTACAGCCAACTTGTCAGCTTATCTCACGTGCGTACAAATATGTATTTAACAAGCAGAAGGCTGTCCACGTATACCGGGATACCTGCCAGATGAGTTAGCTATAGCCAGCTTGTTGACCATCACCCCGGAATAAATGCTGTAGTTTCAGCACGGACGGATGCTGTTCATTGTGGTAAAAGATATATATTAAAGACTATGAGTTACAAGGCCTGTTTTTGAGCTAGACTCCAGTAACAGACTCAGGACCACGATAACGAGCTCAATACTCTCAATTTGTAGCACAAAGCATTATCATGTTATTTAACTCAGCGGAACTTGCTATGGATTGTAAATCTACTCATCTCTTCCGCAGCCAGCATGATTATTACAAGGCTTCAGATTGACCGTTGCTAATGTCGCCGAAACGTTCGTTATTCTTCCGAGAGAAATTTCATCACCGAATAAGCTCTACAAGCTGTTTTCCGTATATTAGGCATAAGCTATGTTTATTTTTTAATGGCTCTTTGCACAGAATTTGTGGTAAAATATAGCACTTTGACAATTCAATCCTTTACCTACATATCAGGATCCCTTCTGCAATAATAGCAAACATTAGTACGTAAATTACCTCGTGGTCGCCGTCAGAATCTCGAGAAGAAAGAGCAGACTGAGCAGACGGTACTCGTTGGAGTTTTAGTGGAGTAAATTGCCTCTTAATACAATATTTAAAAATTTAGATTAAATATCTCAAAGGATTGGACAATCCTTAAGAATATTCTATGTCGCAACGTCGGGATCGTCACTTCAAACGATCGGAATCCAGTAAAGATAAATCTCTTAGCAAGGCTATTATTTCTGACGTAGTAGCGACTTTTGGCCCGCTAGTTTTTGCACACAATGCGTCCGATCGGTTGAAGATGGCGCAACAAAGGAGGAGTTCTATACAAAAGATACAAACAGGTGTGAATATATGATTAAACTATTGAGGTAACTGACGAATTTCGAGCAATTTCTGAAACAATTAAGTTAGACCAAAATTAAAGCAGTAATATTTTTGTATCGCACCTTCCCGTAGATCACTAAGCCACAATCCATGCTGGAATAGAACGGGTCCAGGGCTGACATCACCCTTACTAGCGCTTGACACGCACATTGTCGAATTAATAGAGTAGAACAGCTGTCGGGTGGGCATAAGAGTTACTCATTGCTTAAATTGAAGCGGGATTTAAGATTAATGTGCCCATAACCTTACTACAGATTTCCTCTCACGATTGTAACGTCTACTTTTGAAAATATTTTTACCTATTCTGACTGTCAATTACTTTTTAATTGTCCCTATTAAGAGAGCTCGAAAGACATTGCTATACACTAGCCGACAAACATTCTCATGCAAGATAGTATGCCAAAAGTCCTACACAGCCAGTTACTACAAATTATCAGAACCTTCAAAAATGCCTGGGGGCGAAAGATATAAAAAGTATATGTGAATTTGGCCATTCACTCGCTTGAGTTGGTAGTACTAAGAGTCCTGCTGGCCATTAGCACTCTTGAGGCCGCAGTAGAAGCTTGTGGGTCGAGGCAGCCTTGGCCAAGGACAAGTCGCGTTGGGGCATGGGAAACCATCATTTCTTTTGAGCTCATCATCAGGTATTAAAAAGGTCTTAAATATAGAATACGTGCCATTAACTAAAGAGTAACATTTGAAATTTCTGATTCGTAGGCAATAATTTTAGTGCTGCTGTACACCATGCGCAAAGTGTGTCTTAGAAAGTCCCATAATTTTAGTTCTCAATATATTGCAAAAATAATGGCTTTCGTTCTCCTCAATCAACTCATTAAGGGTGTTCCGACAGAGATTTGGCCTTAGTTAATGATCATCTGCAGACAAGTGACAGTCATTGTCTTTGCTGTCATAGAAAACGTTTGGACATTAGCGGCACCTATTGCTGAAATTGCGCTGAGGTTAGAAGCTTAGATCTGAGAAAAGTCATACTGTACATACCGATATTGCGCGATGTGCGATGCTGGCGATTTAACTTGGCCGTAAGTCCAATCGTTCTGACGAACCCACCCCCTCCAGGATAAGGACACTTCGTGGCCGGGTCGCAGGATCGTTTATAATTGAGGTGACGTCTTTCCGGCCAACCATCTATCAGGGTTGTGGGTGAATCAATCAGGATACAAAGAAATTTGCGCATAGCTCGATTCTAGAAGATGGCCATCGGCTAGCCACATTAACGAAAATTTCTGTCGAGTAATGTATTGGCTTTATCCTTGACATTAGCTGTAGCGCTGACACGTAAAAAGACGACAATGTCAGCATATTCGGACGCGACTTTTGAAAGACCAAAGTTCGAGTTAATTGCCAAGATTCTGCTGGAATCAGCAGATTGGCCAAGGATTCCTAGGATGCGGCAATATTTTGCCCATTGACACGTTTCGCGCATGCGTTTACCCATTTATACATGTTTCGGTCACTAGAAACACAGCCCTTCCTAGGAATCGGTGTCTGTGCCGGAATGGTGAGCATATTATAAGCGTGAACGATACGCCACCTGCCGTTCGGTTTCCGGACACAAACTGTGAGTGTCGGAAACCGAACGGCAGGTGCGTATCGTTCACGCTTATAATATGATGGAGAGACTTGCTCCTACGCATCATTCCTGTGTCGTGCTTCGCATGGAAGAAGGCGTCAGTGACGTCGCACTACTCCTTGGGCAGGGGCCATTGGCGTGTCACGCCGTATTCGGCTCTTAGAACCAGGTCGATTTCAGGACGCAGACATCGGTCCGGAGGTTGGACCAAGGGAGGGTCTTCGGAGACGACGTTTCCAAATCGTTTACCAAAGAATAGTACGGACCCGAGGGATTCTTCAGGATCGAAGATCCACTTTGTTCGCTCAGCACCCTCTTGTTGCTCTCCAGGACAGCGTTATCCAGTAGCGACGACGATTAGATCTCCCATCCCGATCGTATAATGACCAAAAACGGCTAAGTCGTCTGCCTTCAAGGCATCGCTGAACTCTTCGAAGGACATCTCGTCCAACTTAAGAAGAGCACCCACCGCAGGAGTAGCCTCGAGGGTGGCGTCGCCATCTTTCTTTCCTGTCATACCGCTGACAAGGGTATATAGCTGTGTGCTATCGTGTACGGTAGACACACCCTGGATCAGGGTCGACGCCCTGCGTCTTGGAGATAACATACGGCATCGCCGTCTCTTCTCTTCATAGATTTTTGTCTCAGTGAGACCAGTGGGAACACACCCAGCGTCGTCCAGTGCCCCCACTCCCTGCTTCATCGAAGCTTTCATGTTATTAACAAGATTCGACAAAGAACTGGATTTCTGCAGCCATACCAACATAAAGGTAACACCTTGAGTCCAAGTATTAGGCTAAGCAGCGTTCCACGCTGTCAATTTCAAGAAACTTGACACCGAGGTCCACAGGGCCCCTCGGCACAGTGACACAAGTCTTCGTCGCTACGCGAACAATGACGAGGTCACTCAGCCACGCTTTCAGCGCCTCAGCATACAGCTGATTTCCTTCGATCGTAGAGCGTCGAGGATAGTAGGGCGTCGCCCCGCGCCTACTGGGTTTTGTCGTAACCCCGCGACAACCCAGATGATTTGAAGCGGGACGTCGGTTCGAAGAATCTTTACGCGCCTTGCGCAGGGGACAACCAGTCCGAAGGTGGCGGCAAAACACCGTTAGGTGTTTAAACGCTACTCGGAAGCTCGGATCTCTACCTCCTCTTGCTCAGCATAGCAGAGATTCTTTGGCTCAAGCCTGCTCGACAAGCTCTAATGTTGAGCATTTTAACCAAGTCGAGCCGACTTGATGTTGAATTCGGCATTCAATCCACATTCACCGCTACTTCAAAAGAAGACGAATGCACGCGGAAGACTTCCATCCTGGCCACGCCAGTGCGGAGACCCTCTATAAGACCGTCACTCCAACCACCTCAGGGAGAGGATCGGCTGCCATCGGCAATGAAAGTTCGCAACTCTTGGACAAAACTCACCAGTTCCTTCTTGCCCTGTCGGGCGGCGAGAAACTCCATCGCGCGCAACATGCCTGATTAGGGGGCGAGAACACTCGCAAAAGCTGCAGCTTCAGCTTCTTCCAGGAGGGGAACGCCGCTTCAACCGAAGTACCGCACGTTACTGCCCATTCTCACGCTCGACTCCCAAACTTGGAGATAGATAGCGACACGCGCTGTTGCTCGTTCCGGAGCATTGTGGATGCCACAGCCATCTCGGTGTCTGTCACTCAGCGCACTGACACCAAAAGCGGTCTGAGTCGGGAGGAGTCATCCGACGTCGATGGTGGCGTCATGGACGCAGTCGACGCTGACGGCTTCTGCTCTAACATATCATTTCCATAGTCTTAAACGCTTCCAGGCGCGCGCTTAACAATCAGGTCCTTGCGAAGCAAGGTGTTGCACGTCGTCAGGGCCAAGTAGGGACATCAGCATATTAAGCCCGTCCTGCATGCCCTGGGAAAATAGGAGAATTGCTCCATATCCTCTGTGAGGATCAGTCGTAACGACACAGGCGTAGATTGACCAACCGGGGCTGCCGAAGCTCTTTGCTTAGAGGAGGCTAAGCTTAAGTCACCGACATAACATCCTATACCAGAACCAGTACGAGTTCAGCGGAACGCAATCCGCCACCTCCAAGAGTAACCAACCCTTCACCAAGGCAAACACACTCTTTTGTGAATATTATTTGTTTTTTTTGCGGCAGAGCCGCCTATATATACTATCGTAGGTATTCCTAATTTGATAGCAAAAGCTAATCAGTATGCAAAACTACTGGCAGCCCCGCCACGGAGCCGCACCATTGTGTGATTACACTGACTTGTGTAATACACACCCTTATGCGGTCACACGGTAATACACGTACCCTTGTATGAAAGGGTGTTGTGTGAACACCCTTTCATACAAGGGTACGTGTAATTCCGTTACAAAATTCCAATGATCTCTTACAATGATAGCACGCAATTGTAACTCAGGGTGCCTTCTAGGAGTCGACATTTTCCCGAATCTAAACTTTGAAGTAGATACATGAAGACGCTAGAAGGCAGGTGGAACACAGAGAAGAATGGACCGTGTTTTCTTTGTAAAATTGATATTTAGTATCTATTCACAGAGTTAGTCCTTACAATATGGCACTTGTTGCACATTGTTGACAGAGCATTTTGGAAACGACATACAAATTCCTGTGGAGCAAGAGGCTGCAATTCAACCACATTTAACGCACCATCAGCATGACACTAGTAGTCAATCCGACGACCGAGTCAGGAAAGTCATTTGATACTACTGCACTCTTGGTTGTGGAGTGTGGATCTCGGACAGCGGATAGAGTCAGCAAATTCTTTCATGCTAACAAAGTCGAATTTGGGCCGCGGAGGCTCGTCGAATGATCATTCGTTCCGTAAATATCTATGTAGAGTCAGTCATAAGTTAGTTCTCTTCAGAAAGAAAAATCGATAAACAACACAGCAGAAAATTTCTATTTTAGGCACGCAAGTTCCGCCCAGAGAAAGTTGGATGTCATTCAAATCGTACCTTGCGTATTGTGTATCGACTAGCGTATCAGTGATTGCAATACATCGTTTTCAGCACCATGAGTACTATTATGTAAAAGATATAAAAATCACAATAAAAAACTGTATACTTTTCTTTTTATGTGGTCTGAGGCATTTCACAAATGAAAGGTGTCAGGTTGATGCACAAAGAATATGTCAACGGACTAGTGGTTTAGTATTCTGTAAAAGGTTTCGCCAGGTGCTCTTTTGGCTTACAAATGCTCGCCAAATTATGAATCATCTCATGTCACATTGGTAACTTTAACGTAATCATTAATATTCGTATGGCGTATGAATTCAACACACCTTTTGTTGCACTAAGAAAGCGCTAGCAGCGCATTCACATCGCAGTTCATCTCTGTATGTGCAATTCTCAATTCTTTTTCTCAAAGTTTGATAATTATCAGCAAAAAAACCTCGACATGCTGACACCGAAATGTGAAATTTAAATTTCATTTTTTCTAAAGCTCTCCCATTGAACAAAAATACCGCCACGTCGATAAATCTCATCCGCTGATTCGCTAAACATAAGACATACCTCTCTGACTTGCTGGGGAGCTCCGCATAATATCTTTGTCGCTTCGATCACTACACTCCAATGAGTTTCTCGTTAATGGAGCTCTCCGTAAATCGCCGTGCAGTCGTTATTTCCGCTTTCATCTTACTCTTTGGTTTTCTATTTGGAATTTTGTTAAACGCCAATGCACATATTCCTCAGCCTTGGAATCGCATTTCCAGCATCATCGGATGGATTTACTTTTTTTGTTGGAGTGTGAGCTTTTATCCACAAGTTTTTTTGAACCGTCAGCGCTATAGTGTCGTGGGTTTGTCACTAGACTATACAGTACTCAATATGCTTGGCTTTTCGTGTTACTCTCTGTTTAATGCAGCCTTTTACTTTAGCGAGAGTGTGCAACAGCAGTACATGCGGCGCCATGATGGTCACCGCAATGCGGTGGAACTTAACGACGTCTTCTTCTCGTTGCATGCTATGTTATTGGTAGCAGTCTCGCTTTTTCAATGCTTTATTTACCCGCGAGGCGGACAGACTGTGAGTAAGCCAACGATTTTTTGGACTGGTGGAACATGTGTGGCTGCTGTTGTCTTCGGTCTGGCAGTTTTATTAACGGGCAATAAGGAAGACTCAGTCATCAACACACTCAACTTGTTATATTTACTAAGCTATGTCAAGCTCATGACGACATTGGTCAAGTGTTTGCCTCAAATTGTGCTGAATTATCAGCGTAAATCAACGGTGGGGTGGACTATCTGGAATGTATTGCTAGACATTGCTGGTGGTTTGTTGTCGATTGGACAACAGGTTTTGGATGCAAAGGCAACGAATGACTGGACAGCCATGACGGGGGATCCAGTTAAATTCTCGCTGGGCTTTGTGAGCATTATTGTCGACGTCGTCTTCATCTTGCAACATTATGTGTTTTACGCTGAGAACAATCATTTCATTCTTCATGGAGGAGAGACAAAAGCTTTTTTGCCCAAGTAATGCAATCAAGGATAACTCAAGATTTATCTCGATCTGTTGAATTTGTGAGACTCACATTTTCTTGAATTTGTTTTTATTTGTTTGATAACTATCACTTTTTCATTTCGTATCAATTACAAGCCTAGCAACCACACTACACACTTTAAACTCGCCGTCTAAAGTTCAATTTTGCTCATGGCCTTCAGGCGCTTTGCTGCTGCGAATCCTATTAGAATAAATTGTATGTTGTGTAGTTAAATGTATGTTGCGACAAATGTTGAATTCTGTTAAACACCACGACTGCACTAAATGCGGCTCAAAGACAACTTTTCCAGCTAAAGTGTTAAGGCATTTTTATAGCTATACAATTTGGAATAAAGCAGTGAACACTCAACCATATTATGTTTTGAAGCGTCCACAATAGTCGAAGAACTCAGCTTCATGGAACCATCGCATTGATGAGTAATTTCGGTCAAACGGTTTAATCCGCTCATTCCACTTTATTAATAGCGAAAGCATTTGAGACAATGAGGACACTACTCAAACTTGATTGTCTTCGCTCTATTAAACACTTGAATTATCTGTTCATGACATTGTGACTACCATATCATAGCGGCTTGAAACGCGCCGTCCAAAATCATAAAAATGCGAAGAAACGCTGAATTTTCAAGCTCTAATGTCGAATCTTTTGTAAGAAATTCCTTAGCTACATACGAGACACTAAGAACGGCAACTTTTTGCTCGTTATAATTGCGATCAGTCGAAACCAATAACCCAACGTCAACAGTGGCGAAAACGACGTTGTTTGCAACGCAGTTTCGAAGAATCTACTTAAAAAGCGAAACAGTTGAGCACCTTGTCTTGTACGGGTTGGGACTCTTGATGGGAGAGTTCGTTAAATCCACTTCAGTATTAATCCAGAAGTTCGAGATCACTCACATTTTCATTCTTCGAATTACTTTCAACGCCTCGCCACATCAATCTCATTCAAAAAAGTTATGATGTCGACACTATCTTCGATTATTCTGATTGGCCTCATCTTTGCAAGAATCGTTCACGGAGATGTCTGTCCCACGCAAGCACTGATGAAGCTTTCAAGCAGCATCAATCTCGCCGGCTGTACGGCGGGCACAGGTCTTAGTATGTCTACATTGGCAAGTCTGACTACAGAGCAAGTGATGGATTTATGCGAAAACTCGTTTTGCCGTGCATTCTTAAATGAAGTGGAGGCGGAAAATCTTGGTGACTGCACTATTCCGGGCCTGAATGTCTTTGTTGAAAGTGACATTTTGGACCAGGTGTCGGAATTCTGTAATGGAAGTGGTTCGATAGGATCAATGTCCATGGGATCGTCTTCGTTTGACAATGAGACTAATGTTGGTGATGAATCAGAGGACAATTCTTCAAACGGCGACAATACTGCCGGGAGAAGTACATCTAATTCCACGAGCAACGCCATAACTGTGACAGTCGGAATATACATCATGGTTACGGCAACCTTTATGGCGATGATATAGTTTACGTCGCTTCTTGCTTGAAACTTGATTGTTTAATACAGCAATTACTGTCGGTTTGAATCATAGTTTGAGTAATGCGCTTATGCTGCTCCTTGTATCATCATGTTGTTTGAGGTGTTAGCATTGAACCTTATAGCAAGTATGCATATGAGTCTTTAGAACTAGCTGGAGCAAGAAATTGTCATGCTACTTGATTACTTGAGATAAATTATTGATATCAGTGCTGCCGATCCCAAGTATCATGCACATCTGTTCGACGTTTACTGCAGTTGTTGAGTCTATGGTCTCACCAATCCATTAGGCATGAGCTCTATGATATGAAATAGAATACAATAGAAAATAGGGCTGCAAACATCTTAATAATGTCATACCAAGACAGCTCTCGATGTCCAATGACTTAGAAGCGCTGCTAAAGCATTAACAGCCTGGTATTATAAGCAGATGCGCCTGAGACTTCACGACCAATGTCAATTGTCAGAGATGTCGTACTAGGACTATACGAACAATAGTATGAGCAAGTTTGATACTACAAATGACACGACAATGTCATGACGTTCTTGTGCATGAAGGGTACAGATCACGAGTACACACACAAATAGAACGCCGCCGAAGTCATTGCGATAGGGAATAAATATTCAACGCCACGGTTCAGGTAAATGAAATCTCAAAAACTTCAAGTCGGAGCCACGTGTACTGTACCGCTTCTTCGTCGCAATCGTCACATTCGTTCGTAAGCGTTCATCCAGCTTGAGACGCTTATTCAGATAATCTATCTCGCTCATTCTCGGATGCTGAGTTCACTTTTGAACGTTCTTTCATATCAATCAGTTTCAATTTTACCATGGCACACTCTGACAAAAAGTGTCGAAGTTGTGGCTGTCGGAACAAGGTGTGTCGACGGCGTCGAACAGAGCAGCGACGTCAACTACAGCACTTGAATGGTTTTGCTCAATTCTTGTATGCTCCAAGGACAAGTGCATATAGAAGATGGTTAAGCAAGGACTGGGAAAACGAGATTCGACCTGACGTGGTTCTCATTGATAGTCGCGATATTCAAGATATGCGCAATTCAGTCGACAGAATGCAGCGTCAATTATCGCAAGGTCTTCGAGACATACAAGAGATCCGAACTCTAGTAAAACAAGTAGTAGCTCGAGACCGTTATATGTCACGACTGCGTACGGACGTACGAGAGTCCATATATGATACAATCCCAAGGTGTTAAGCAGGAGATTCTGGTTATTAATAAAATCTGTCGCGTAAACATACATAGACGTAGCTACTTCGTCGTTATTTTGATATTGTTGAAAGAGCATGCCAAAGCGTTCTCCATACTCATGTCCTAGCTCTGTGTCTTCTGTTAATACAAAGACGTCAAAACCTCGAGAAGACTTTGAAGCAAACAAAGCGTGGTTGGCATCCGTCCTGGTTCCAATCGAGCCAAAGAATGATCTGAGAACACCAATTGATCCTCAATCAGAAAGCTCATCATCTCCAAATACAGCAGTTCAAACTCCAGTTCAGGTGTTTTACTGACAAACAATGAAACAAATCTCGATCGAAGCTTATACTCGAGTGTAGATGACTGTGAATAATTTTGCGCAGAAAAAGATGCTGCTGCCGTATTTGGACAAGATCGAATACATGAATTGTCAGCTAAGGTAAGAATGTGAATAGAAACGTGTAAAAATGTCTAACACTTTTCTTTATCAATAGACAGCGTGGACTTTTACCAGCTGAGTCTGTGGTCAAGATAGCAAAAGATGTTCTTCCTCACGCAAAAGAGATTCCGAATCAAAAAGAATCAGAGACGGAAAGTCAAAGAACGGACTCGACACCAACTTCGGACAAGTTTTCGGTTAAATTGCTGCAAGGGCGTTACCCGAGACTTTTCAAGGCTGTAGTACAAAATCGTCATAAAAAATGTTTTCAACCCAGACGACGACAAATCAATTGGCTTCTTCGAACGATTGACGGTATCTACAATGCACTTGCAGAGTGTGTATTGAATAAGATGGAAAGTGAGAAGGCAGAAGTTGCGTCTGTGCGTTTAAAAGACTTGAGCAGACGCCGAAATGGTCACATGACCTCATCGAGATGTCTGGCTATGCCATTTTTCACTCGAACATTTATTTCCCACTCCCTAGGCTTACGTCAACTTGCCGAGCAAGAGTGTATGGATCTTATGTACAACATTGAGCTATTTTGTGAACAGTATCCACAGGTGGCAATGTTTGGATTGTTTCTACGAGAGATATTTGACCACGACACGCTGCTCTTCTTTTTATTCATACGTCATGAATTACAAGATGAATTTGATCTTGATTTTAGTACGAAAGAAAAACTAGCGCATTCATCTAGCACCAGTAAAGCAAAAAAGTACATTGCCGACAATCTCATTGAATTCCGTACCCACCCCCATATTCCAGACGGAACAAAGCAGGTGTTTTTTATCAAAAAAGCGTGTGAGATCATCATGCAGCGCATTTTTGACACTTGTAGCCACCAATGCTTCGACAAATCTTCTCCGAGTGCAAGCCCCACCTTACTGGCTCACTACGTCATTCGTGAAGCTTTTAAAGGTCAATTTGTCAAAGATGAAACCCGTTCAATCATCTCCGTGGACACTTTTTTCACGACCTTAATCAACTTGTACCGCAAAGTGCCAGACGACATTACCACTCAGTTTAAACTTCAGGATGATGGATCCTTGTCCAACTTGATTCGACTTCGAGATACCGTAGCACTGAACTCAGACGTTGACAAGTATATCGCTTTGTACACCGAGCAAGAACGACATCTACGAAATCAGAAAATTCAACTCATGAAGATGGAGCGTAGCGATACAACTGATCAGTTTCGGATTGATCGAAATCTTCTTCGAAATCAGATTCGTCTACAAGAACAAGAGCTTCAACATACTCAAAAGAAGATTCAGGAAAGCGAGACATTGGTGGACAATGTCTGGAAAAAAATCATCTTTGTGAAACCTGCTCAAAATTTCATTCGGCAGCACAGCAGTCAAGAACTCTCCACGTTTCTGTTTTCTAAAGATCTTGTCTCTGTTCTTGGTCGATTTGAAGCGTTTGTTAAAAATTTGTATCATAATCATCATATTGAAGTCAAAGCTTTGACTTTCTTCGCTGTTCCATGGAAACAACAGATGGAAGAGCTAAAAATTCGGATGGTGATCCGAATTCAACGCGCCTATCGCTCACGTCAAAGCTTCTACATGGCAAAACGAAAAGCTCGAGAAAAACGTTTGAAAACCATTCAAGAACAAAAGTTCAAGCTGTTGGAAGAAAAAAGACGCCAAGCCTTTTTTGAAAACGAGCTCAAATCACGAAAAAAGCAGAAAGAGAAGACTCAGCATGAACTACAGAAGAGGCTTAAAAATATGATGCGAAAAGCACAGCAACAAGAGGCGATGGAATACAACGCAGCTCGGATGAAGAAGCAGGTTATTCATGTCATTGTACAATGGCAAGCTTTTGTCGTGAAGATTAAGCGACAACGACAAGCTGACAAGTTTTTCTTGAAATTTAAACTTATCAAGTGGAAATTGTATTGCAGCGATCATCATCCTTTGACAAAAGCAGCGCAAACACTTCAGCGGAATTTCCGCCATCGAAAAGAGCGAAGGAAGTTTCGTCGAGCAATAAATTTACGTGTCAAGCGTAGCCGAATGGCCAAACGATATTTACTTAAAATTCAATTGCAAGTGCTAAACAAAATTGTGAACCAGTGGATGGCATTTACTATCGAGCAGCAACGACATCGAGATGTATTTGCATCAATCATTCAAACGAGAGAAAAACGATGGTTCGATTGGTGGCTGTGTTTTATAACCAGAGTCAAGACTTGTAGACTTAAAGCAGTAGCATTAATTCAACGACAGTATCGAGGTCGAATAGCACGTCACGTCTTTTATCAGCTTCGTACTCGGCATTTTAAAGCTATTGAGATCCAACGAGTGTATCGAGGTAGAAATGGTCGAGTACTTGCAAGAAAGCGAAAGGAACTTTTAATGATCCAAAACAATCGAGTCATATCAATTCTACGTCGTGTGAAAAATCGACAAGTCGGGAAATACTTTGATATCATTCTACGCTATAGGAATCAAAGGACTCGAATCAAAGAGATGGCTAATTCCCGAGAGCATGTGATGAAAAAGTTGAGTATTGGAACGTGGCGACATTTTGTCTTGATGAGAAAACAAGAACGCATTGAGCTGTCAAGACATCGTAACCATAGTGCGTTCGTAATCCAGCGTTATTTTCGACGATATCTTAGTCATTTACTATTGAAGAAGACATTGTCATTTCATCGAGCAGCTTTAAAAATCCAATGCGTGTTTCGAGGGTATCACGGTCGAATAGTAGCGAAATGCCGTCAAAGGGACATGAGAGCAGCCATTTGTATTCAGACAATATGGAGGAGGCATAGGGCCAAGATGTACGTAGCTGCGATACGTGCAGAGAAACTTTTTGTCGCGACCCGAAATGGGAATTATACGACAGTTCAATCGGCGCTTATTAAGCAAGAAGGGTATGTTCTGGATACTGATGGAAACACACTCCTTCATCATGCAGCAGCAGCTGGCCACCTACGTCTAGTCAAACTCTGTCTCCGTCATTGCATGAATATCAATCAAGTAAACAAACACAATCAAACTGCATTGCATCTGGTCTTTGCCTCTATTCCTGCTTCTACTAGTTTATCCGAGATAAAAGCACGTGATAAACGTATTGTGCTTGCAGCGTATATGATTGACCATGGTGCATGGACTGAAGCACGGGATAAAGAAGGATTAACGCCATTTTTATTATGTGCTGTATTAGGTCACAGTGAAGCGATCGAGATGTTATTGAGCTATGGAGTAGATACAGAAACCAGAACAAAGTTAAGGAATTTAAATGCACTCCAGCTAGCAGTTGAAGGCAATCATATCGCGACAGTGAAGGTACTTCTCGAGTCAGGAAACTTTGACATGGGTAAGAATGGTCGCACCACGTCTTTATTACTCCATGTATGTGCTGCAAGAGGATTAATTGACTGTGTTCGGGTACTACTTGCACATCTTCGACGACGAATACAAGTGTTTGGTTACGATGTATTCGATCAGAGAGATCTGGAAGGTTACACTCCATTAATTTACGCTGTCAATAACGGCTCTCTTGATTGTACAAAGTGTTTCTTAGAAGCTAACGCTAATCCGAACAGTACGGATCTGGATGGTCGTACCCCACTTCATTTTGCGCTGAGTTTCACCGACTTAGGCACTCGAGAGGCTCTTGTTAATCTCTTGATTCAATACGATGCGGATGTGAATGTGAAAGATCGAGATGGTGATACACCGCTTCATGTTTCTTGTGTAAATGATGAGCGTTTAGCCTGTACACATCGTTTGCTTTCGAGTGGTGCATTCTTTTATGCAAATACCGTTGGAAATCATCCAACACACATTGCAGCTCACAATGGAGCTGTGAAGACGCTTAAACTGTTTGTAGATTATGGTGGAGATATGAATTTAAAGAATTATGGCGGCAAAACACCATTAGGTATGGCACGAATGAACAACCAGCAATTAGTCGTACAATATATTACTGCATCATTTGCAGTGGAATCAACAGGCGGTAAGAATGATGTCATGGAGGAGTGTCGAAAAGGTCAAGACAATTTCGAAAAAGAGCAAAGCTCCAAAGAGGATGGTACAAAGTGTCAAACAGATCGGACATTGTCCGACTGGACGACTGCGGTCTCGAATGCCTATTGTATGGGCTCTCTTGCTGAGTGGACACAATACATTGATGCTGGAACAGGAAGGCCATTCTACACTAGTATGGGACCTTTAGGTGATCCTTTATATTCGTGGGAACCATCCGTTGAATTCAAAGCTTGTATGGGCAAAAGTTGGGAGCTTGTACAGTATGCTTCTATACTCGAAGCACATGATACGCAGGCTATAAATGAGCACCCGTATCTGTACCATAACCTAGTCACAAACGAATACTCGACAACAATACCACCAATTGACTACGCATTATTACCAGAACTCGTTCAACAATCCCAACGAATCACACGATTACGGACTCGTGATCGAAAACTCTCGACCAACGAAATCAATACATCTACAATGGAATATCTGCAGTATAACTGCAATTTCAACAATGAGAAGACCCAACTTTGCGATCAAATTCGTGCTGCGAGTAAAATTCAGCGTCACTTTCGTGCAAAACGAACATGTGCACTTGTCAAGATGTTAGTGTATCAAAATCGTCGGGTTGTTGATCTCCAGCGGGCATTTCGAGGGCAAAAAGGTCGTCGAGAAGCTACAAATCGACGAATCCAATGTTCTAAGATCATAAAGATCCAAGCGGCTTATCGTGGCTATCGAACTCGTCAAGACGAAGCTCATGGTCGACGCTTACAGCGCGAACTCCATTTACAACGAAGACTTGCTGCACGATCTATTCAACGGGTTTTTCGAGGTTTCATGGGTCGAAAACGAGCATATCGTGCAAAGGTGATTTTAAGACTTGGATCAACGATTTCGTTGGAATGGGAATTGTATCGAAAGCGCGCACGGATAGTACGAACTTTCAAAGCATGGGATGAATTGGAGATCTACGCTGAGTTTCCGGGTGTGTTCTTCTATCATCATCGAATGACTCACGTCTGTAGCTGGGATCAACCTGTACCGTGGGTAGATTATGATCGAGAAGCATTTGAAGCTCGACAACAATTGTTCTACTGGGGGTACACGAAACGAATGGAACAAGCAGCACATAGTCTACAGGGTATGTGGCGCGCACGTGTTGCACGTAAGTCATTTCATATGATCTTACGTGCTGTGCGCTTGATGAAAACCTGTGAACAAGCGTATCTTGATGATCCTACACATGTAATTAAACTTGGGAACTATGTGTTATATTTGCATACAATCACACATGACTACGATCGAGCACGACCTTTATATCATCAATTGATGCGAATTATGACACAAAGGGGACCTGATATTCCCTTTGTGCTTTTTTCGTACGGACTCTTTTTGCACGTGACATTAGAGGAAGACGACACCGTAGTGGAAGAGATGATTCAACGTGGAAAACTAGCGGATCCAATGCTAATTAAGTACAAATTGGCATTTGTGGGCTTCTTTCGCCAAGCAGTTCTTCAAAATCCAAAGAATGCTGAGGCTCATATCAATTATGCAGCATGTACCCACTGGTTATACGAACAGTATGATGAAGCGACACGTCATTATCTCAAAGCATTAGCTTTAGCACCTCATCGAAAAGGAAGTTTAGACCTTTTTCAAACCATGTTAAATCGTAAGAGACGGAAAGAGAGGACAAAGTCCACTCCACTAGAAAGAAAAGGTTTGAAAAAGATGCAAGATGCTGGAGAATACGATCAGTTTGATGCTTTTGCTCAATTTCGACGGTGGCAGTCGAAGGGGGGGAAAGGAAAGGAATATTTTGGCTATTGGACTGTGAACGCCGAGCAAAGTCGTGCAGTATTTGAATCAGTTTCTCTTAGTTGTCGCAAGGACTTCGATGAAATGGGTACAAGCTGAAAACCTTTGTATTCTAACTTCTCAGGCCGATAAATTAATTACTCCAGTATGTCTCTGCGGGTGTCCAAAAGCTAGACCTCAAATTTGCTTCCTGAGCCTCGCATCGCACTGCGTGGCTTGAGGCATCTTCTTTGGTCCAGAACCACAGTACTGCTTTACGACACATGGTAGCTCGGCTAAGAAAACAGGTGATGCTGCTTTGATCACAATAGAGTTTTTCAGATTCGACTGGCTCGTAAGAATAGGTGAGAATTCAGTGAGCCCATAAAGAATACAGGATATTTAGGCAAACTTTTTGTAATGCTTAGATAGCAACTCGATTCGTTTTTTGTTACGACCGCGACCGGTCGATGTAGCGCAGTCACAGCTTGGTCTTTTAGACCGTAGACAATGCATCTGTACTTAGTTAGATTGCATTCAATATGGATATTTTACCCCAACATATGCGTATGTGCCTGCGCATTTTGTTTTTTTTGTACATTCTGGATCTCAACCATAGCGTCGCGCACCCAGCGCATGACTCTGATTTCACTGATCGCCACGAAGTGTTGATGATTCGATTTCAGGAGGACCGAATCAATCAACAGACCTTTCCTCACAAAATTTGGATTCACTTTATGGCGGTATCAAACGCACCCGGGTCTCTGAACGTGGTAACGCCTGCAAAAAGCATTTACTGTGATATGCAGCGCAGACTCAATGAGTGGCAGCAACTGGCTCCGGCACTGAGGTCTTTCCATTTACGAGCTTTGGAGGATACCTTTCACCACGCGAATAACGCGCTTTGTTTAGTCGTCTGTATGCGGATGTTCATCGGTTGACATGTTCAATTTGTGTCGAGTACTGTGAGAAATGCTCGCCACAACTTCGCTGTTAAACGCAGATTTAAATTTGACAAAGCGGGTCATGCTGATTTAATTTGCGCTAAATAAGTCGGTGTGTGTAGCGGGGCTGCCGTAGCTAAGCGCTTGAGGAAGCGCACTTTAT